GCATCCGCTCGAAAAAAAATCCGCTCGAATTCGCTCGAATTGGCCTTCGCTCGAAGTGGCATCCGCTCGAATTGACTGGCTCCCAGGCTGGGACATGAAAGGGTGTTGTTTGTTGTTATTTCGCAATTCGCGACGTCATCAACGAGTACAATACATTCAATCCCGTAACATGATTGGTCTATTTTTTTCTAATTTGCATAATGAATGTTTCCAAAATATTTGTCTATTTAAAAAAAAAGTGTGTAAGTTATGGAGATGGTAACAATCATAAATAGATTAAAAATTTAATTATACATTTTTAGACAAAAAATAAACCCTCTTGGCCCACGGCCCATTTTTTGACACCATGACCATTCGTAATATTAATCTGCAGTGTATATATGTGAAGAATTTTTTCTAGTAGGATTAAAGTTGACTAACTGGTACTTGGTGTGGTACTGGGTTTATCGCACTTATGGTTTAGGGGCCGCGGTTTACCTCCCTCCGTTTAGTCATGCTGGATCAGGGGTAGTAAACTCAGCGATCGTGGGTTCGATTCCCACACGGGGCAAGTTTTTTTTTTAAATTTTTTTATTTATTTTAATTTTTTTATTTATTTTTTTTTTAAGGTCGTGGGTTCGATTGCCACACGAGTCAGTTTTTTTTTTATATTTATTCTTTTTTAAGGCAGTTTAATTGATGGTGGATAATGATAGCAAACCTGGAGGTTGTGTATTCGATTAGCACACGAACCAATTTTTTTTTTTAAGGCTGAAGGTGGATAATGAATAGCAAACCTGGTGGTTGTGTGTTCAATTCCCACACAAACCAATTTTGTTTAAAGGCAATCTAGTTGATGGTGGATAATGAATAGCAAACCTGGAGGTTGTGTGTTCGATTCCCACATTAACCAATTTTTTTTTTTTTTTTTTTTTTTTGGCTTAATTCATAGGCAGGATTGTTCATTTGTTCTTTTAATTCCTATTGAAATTAGTGTTTTGATGGTGAATTTGTTTTTCATTCAATGGGAATTCATATATTTTATATGAGAAGAATCTATGAATATTCAGCTTTCCGTTTACTGGATCCGCCACTTATTATAGCTCTGGAGTTGACCGAAGTCCGTTTTGATATACCAAATATACCTCGCCAAAGCGGTAGTTGCTCAACGGGTTCAGCCGAGGGGCGTGGCTTCGTATCCTGACGTCATGCATAATTTCAGCTATAGTTCGTTTTTCAGTTATAGTTCGTCCTCGACATAGAGTAGGCCCTGTACGGAAGCACCTAAGTGCCATTCGACTTGACGACTTGTCAAGATAATTATGTTGTCCAGTCGACATAATATACATATCATGTCGACATGGCGAGATAGATTATCTTGACAAGTCGACATACTAAAAATGTTTTGTTGTCATGACGAGATAGGTTATCTTGACAAGTCGACATAATAAAAATTGTATATCTTGACAAGTCGACATAATAAAAGTTGTATGTTGTCATGGTGAAATAAATTATCTTGACAAGCCGACATAGTAAAAATGTTATGTTGTCCTGGCGAGATAGATTATCTTGACAAGTCGACATAATCCATATTGTATATTGTCATGGCGAGATAGGTTATCTTGACAAGTCGACATAATAAAAATTGTATGTTGTCATGGCGAGATAGATTATCTTGACATGTCGACATAATATAGGTTGTATGTTGCCATGGCAAGATAGGTTATCTTGACAAGTCGACATAATAAAAAGTGTATGTTGTCATGGCGAGATAGATTATCTTGACAAGTCGACATAGTAAAAATTGTATGTTGTCATGGCGAGATAGATTATCTTGACAAGTCGACATAATACAAATTGTATCTTGTCATGACAAGATAACTTTTATTATCAAAGATAATAAATAGCAGAAGATAGAGCAGCTTCCCAATATAGTGGAACATCCGTTCAAAAAGGCATTGTGGGTACACGGAGAGCAATTTTACCCGGTTACCCCAGCTATAAAGGCGCCGCTCTGGTTCGATTGTTTCCTGTAGTTTCTCCACTTAGTAAAATATTCAAATTTTACCCCATTCGCGGGAGGGCGGATGTTCCATCAATTTTAATGCAAATACGGAACAGCTCATTCTTCTGCTATTTAAGTTCTTTGCTTGTATTGTCGATGCCCACAGTAATATCAAAAAACTTGTACGCACGTGCTATATTCGAGAGCTAGATGTGCGTCCTTTTGTTCTTTTCATAGATCTTCCTCCTTTTCGCGTTCAGGGTTACACAATTTCTGTACAATCAATAATTATTATTATAATAGATTTTTATTAGAACGATATATGTGCTGGATTACATGGTACCATTTAGAGAGAACATCCGTACACATTAAAATATTTTATTAAATTATGTACTTTTTTTTTACTAATTTCTTTATACATACTTTATACTGTTATAATGTAGTAGGCTTATTTTTTACTCATTGAGGATAGAAAACATTTTATTTAGGTGTATGATATTACTTGTGCTGTACCAAAAATGTTTTATGCTAATTACACAAGATGCTGGATATCAACACCGAATCAATAGGCGAGTTATTTATTTGACGACAGCGCCACCTACGTTCTACTACTTGAAATTTCTTGTTTGAACAATAAAATGTAATATTTGAATTGCTTAGTGTAATGACTTTTCATTGAAAATTAAAATGAATTTTATTTTTGCTATTTAAAACAGACACACGATCGACGCATAGCGCAAGATATAACGCAAGAGACTAGACGCATAGCACATAAGCCCTAACAAACGTAGCAGACGCAAAACGCGTGATGATTGAAGCATAATGTTCCTTGATTCTCTGCAAAAATCTTGATTTTCCTAGTAAAAAGTTTGATCTTCATCAGCGAGATTGATTTTACCGATCAGAGCCCCATTGGACGTTGACGACGAATAGGTTTATTTTGTTGTTAACAATATAATAACTATGACATACCGTATGTCAATTTCATCGGTGTTGCTTTCGTATTTTTTGCACAAAGAAAATAACCAGTATTCTGATTTCCCATGCATTTCTCCTAAACCTCGAGGATCTTTTGCCTACCAGGGTATAGCCCTGTCTCTTATACACATCTAGATGTGTATAAGAGACAGGTATATTGTCATGGCGAGATAGGTTATCTTGACAAGTCGACATAATAAAAATTGTATGTTGTCATGGCGAGATAGATTATCTTGACATGTCGACATAATATAGGTTGTATGTTGCCATGGCAAGATAGGTTATCTTGACAAGTCGACATAATAAAAAGTGTATGTTGTCATGGCGAGATAGATTATCTTGACAAGTCGACATAATCCATATTGTATATTGTCATGGCGAGATAGGTTATCTTGACAAGTCGACATAATAAAAATTGTATGTTGTCATGGCGAGATAGATTATCTTGACACCATGAAAAGAATGACGTCCGTACACATTAATATTTTCTTAAATGATGTAATTTAAAGCACCGTCACCTCCGTGTTGCGTTAATAGCTTGAACATGCTTGAATAATGGGGATTCATCAATTCAATTAACTTATGAACAATGGAAATTAAAAATGATATTTATTTATCTTGCTAATTATAAACGCATATCAGACGTATAACGCACAATAATATTTTCTGGATTTTCTGCAAAAATCTTCAACTTGATTTTCGTTTTAGTAAGAAGTTAGACCTTCGTCAGTGAGATTGATCGTTACTGATCAGGGTTCCATTAGAAGTTGATAACTTAAAAAAAAACAACAAAAAAAAAAAACACCAGTTTGAACAAACAACAAGGTAATTCAACAGAAGGACGAACATGTCCGCTCTCGAACATAGCGCGTGCGTACAGTCCTTTGATCTTTAGTGGCATGACAATCCGATACTAGTTGTTGGGTACAGCCGTCAATTATTAGTCTATGCGTGCCATTCGTTTTATGGTGTTAGTTTTTATTTAATTTTGGGTACTTCTCAATGTCTGCTACATCTGATTTTTTTTTACCGCGAGCTTGTTAAATGCTTCTATAAACTGCAATTTGATTTGTGAAAATTGACCAAGAAAATGAAAAGTTATAGCAATTTAAAATTTACGAATTTTATGAAATTTCATGTTCTTATGTAACATTAATCTGTCATTTTGACAATGTTGGCATAAGGTGCCGAAAACGTATATATACAGAACATTTATTAATTTTTTTCTGCAAAGTGAGTCTCATGAACGACAATTCACCACAATTTTGGTAAAATTAATGTTGAAATGAAGAATATAATTTCAGTCTAATGTTAGTGCAAAATATCATTAGGCCTTTGTAATTACTGTACGACGCGCGATTATCATGGCAACTAACACGGGCGTGAGTAATTCGTCACGTACGCTGACGGTTTATGATCTGGTTGCTATGGTTTTTGACGTTCAGCGTGTAGGGACGCACGTGCGCCTAGAATGTCGATGCCAGAGTTACAATGTCCCGAGATGTGCGTCTTTCTGTTGAATTGCTTTGGTAAAAAAAACACACTAAACGAATTGACAACTACTGATTTCAGGGTTCTGGTTGCAAACATATTTATTATGTAATGTGAGTGCACATGAAAATTCCAAGCGAAGAGATAAATTCATAAACCACAATTTGAAAATACCACTGCACAATATAATAACCACCCGGTTATATATTAGCAAAGTGTATAGAACTGCAAGAAGGTCCGACTGCCCTTATTTTGTATTCAGGCAATGGAACGTTAAAAAGTACTACTGCAAAAGGGCGTGTATCCCCAAAAGTATCAAGTAATGGTATAAGGCCCTATAAAAATATTATTAGTTTATCACCCTATCTGTTCAGGAAAAGTGATGAGGCTTTTTTTAATTTTTTTATTTTGCTAAAACCAAATATTACCCTTGGGTTGTTTGCTGGTGCATTGATATTCAAAAAAACATGATTTAGATAATGCAAACAATATCTACTATTTAATAAATTAAATAAATAAAATTTAAAAAAAAATATTTTTTTTTTTCAAAAAAAAAATTTTTCAAATTTTTTTTTTCCCAGTACCATAGAAGGCATGCGTGCGAGGGTGATAAACTAATACATTTTTTTATTGGGCCTAATAATTCGTGTGCATTATATGCTGTTACAGAAATAGGACGGCAGTGGCAAAACTACCTCAGTGCCCCACCCTAAATCCGCCTCTGAATAGGGACTGGACAGTCGGCATTGTTAAGGTACTATTCTTCTCTACTCCCAAATAATAATAAACTTGACAAAAGACAGGTTATAGAAAATAGTTGTAGGATAACCATGATTGCTCAAAATTAATGTCTGAATTAAGAAATTTCATTATCAAAGTTTAAAATTAAACAATTTTCTTGTTTTTGTTGGCATTAAACGCAGTCGGGTTGATCACTTCTTGCCCCAATGTGTCTTAATTGCCTGTAAAAGAGAATTAAAAATTAATTAATATTAGGCCTATGCTAAATTATTTTGCAAGACGCTGTATTTATTTACCGTATTTATTTAAATAACGCCTCGGGGCGTTTATTGTTGAGAAATGCTTTCAAGGGAGGCGTATGATTCCACAAAGGCGTTTATTTTTTGAGTGTAAAATTGATACGTATGTAAATAAACGCCCCTTAATTTTAATGTAAATACGAAATAATTACCGTCAAATATTTCATTGCGTGATCATAAAGACTTTGAAAAATGTAATTCCACTGGGGTAGAACATTAATACCATGGACCTATTAATAGGTCAATGAATAGACTGTGTTGAGAATCATCGATGTTACTTCAATTAGATGTGTTTCGTTTCGGGCAAATAAAAGAATGAATATTGTTGGCATGAAAAGAAAATCTTTGAATTTCAAAGTATATAACGCTAGAATCGATGGAAAGTAATCAGATTTGCATAGAGCTTATAACTGAAGGCTAAAAGCGCTCGAGGTTCGACTCAAATGTCCCGAGTCATTACATCCCGCTACAGACGTTAAACTGCGGCTGCCACGGGTCCTCAGAAGACCAACCATAATTTTCAATTTCAAATAATTAAAAAATGGACAAAATTTAAACCATAGAATAATACTCACACTCATACACAACGTCCAGATACTTGTACGTTCCGGCACAGGGGTCACCAAACAGGCGGTTACTAGCGTGGACAACACACGTCGGTTTTCCTTGGCAGAGGTCTTTGACCGTAGATATTGATGATTTCGCAAGGCACGACGTGTCTTCATGTCTCGACCGGGAGGCGATTTTTTTTTCCGTACGAAACATTTACATGAAACTCCACTCGGGCCGTCTCGGCTGAATCGACCCGAAAATCTCATTGCAGAATTCAGGAGGTCAAAATGTCATCAACATATAAACGTCTACAGAACAACTTCTGAGAGAACGTCGCTGTCTAATTTTTAAAAA